GCTCATTTTTTCTGGACTTGGACCTTCATTTTCTAGTAGGAATTCAAAATGCTGAAAACAAGGTTTGTATTTTGCCTCTTTAAAAAAAATGGTAAAATGGTATTATTATCAACTGGAAAAGTGAAAGCTTCTTAGATTTTAAAATTCCTTGGCTTCAGTTTGGCCCTAATTAAATAGATCCTTTCTTCCATTGCTGCCCTGTGTAGTGTTTTCCTTCCATTATAAGGCAAACATGCAGTGTATCTTAGAGTTTAGGATGCTGCTTTGGAATAAAAAGTTCTCTTTAAAAACAATGGTACAATTCCCCAAGGTGACAATTACTGTTAGCTTTTATTGAGATCTGTAGTAACTGTTGCATTTTAAAAATTTTGCACTTTTAAGAGCAGTCTAAGACTGCCATCTTTTAAGCTTGTTTTTAAATAAAGATATCAGAGAGAACATGTTCCAAGAATATTTATAGTGGCTCCAAGTCCAGAGGTCTAACTCAGCCATTATTAATAGCTACCAACTAGTCTTGTTTCCTATTCACCTATAGCAGTTTTTTAGACATCATGTAGGATTTGAAACTATAAAGGTAATTGAGACAATCCAAGGGGTACTTATGCAATGAGAAAGGAAGAAGGAAGGATGAACATTTAAAGGCAAACTGAGGAGGAGATAACAAAGTAATGATTAGAGAGGTAGGAGAGAAACTAGGAGAATATTGTAACAAGAAGCCAAGGAAGAATTTCAAAAATATTATTGACTTTTTCAGGCACTATAAGATGAGAATCGAAAAGAATCTATTGAATTTTGCAATTAGGAGGTTCATTGCTGACCTTTGCCAGAGCAGTTTCACTGAAGTATAGAAATGGGCTCTGGGTTGCAGCAGGTTAAAGATTAAACTGGAAGAGAATATATCAAAACAGTTAATGTGGATTGTTAACTCATCAGATATGAAGGAAAAGAGAGAGATGGCAGTGAGCAGAGAGAATGATATTCAGGAGGGACTGTTATCTTAACAAAGATAATAGAAACCTTGGGTATATTTATAAGCTGTGGGGAAGAAGCCGGTAGATAAAGAATGATTTAAAATACAGAAGAAAGATAATAAGCAATGAAACAGCCCTAGAAAAGGTTCATGGAGGCTGATCTGGGAGCATAGGATTCCACTACTGTTGAAGGAAAAGGGTAAAAAAAAAAGGCTGCAGAATATAGGTGTTTAAATGGCATAATAAGCAGAAAGTTTGATATTTTCATGTTTGACCTTGTAGAACACAAGGTTACTCTATGTGCTACTAGGAGATACATTATTAGTAATTATATCACCTAGCATTTATTGAATACTTACTATATGCTGTGAATATTACCAAGAGTTTCTAAAACATACCGCATTTAATTTACAACTCTGAGTGGAAGTATTGTCACTACTTCTCAGTCGAGGAAACTGAAGCCTAATGAGTTTAACCTGTGTAAGGGCATAAAGACATTATGTATCAGAACTAGTCATTGGAGGCTGGCTGGTTCTAACTCCAGGTACTTGTGTTTTTAGCCATAGTTGCGTGTAAGTTAGGATGTTGTGTACATTTGACAGAATGGACCAGTTTATCGTGAATGTGTAAAAGAATTGTTGGTTGGCCCTTGGTACAATGAAAGGTAGAGACCTGAAGTCTGTGGTAGCTCCAGTGTACACAACAGAGTTGATTGCCTCCATCAGCAGTTATTAAACCAAGTGAATGATAATGTAAAGGGACCATCAGAGTGGGATTTTTTTTTTTTTTTAGTGTCAGATTGGATGGATGAGAAAGTTAAGGCATAACCTAACAAAATTCCTGAATTCTGAGATTAAAGGGAAACACCTATAAGATTCTTAAGAGAAAAGACAAGAAAAGGAAAAAGAATCAGGCTGGCATTGGACTTTCTATTAAACTGGAAGATGGAAGACGGTAGAATACCATCTATAGACTATGAGTGAAATTAGTGAAAAAGATGGCAACTATCATTCTATATCCAGTTCTATACGTGTCAGAGAAAATGAATGATATTTGAGAATAAAAAATACTATATCACCTACATGAAGAAAATACTTGAGACAGAAGAAAATAACAAAGGATGAGAATACAGAAGTCAAGATGGAAAAAACGAAGAAGCAGGTTAGCAATGAAACATGGACACAATTAATGTATGAGAATAAGGAGAGGCTCAGAGAACATATAATCCCAGTGTAAAATAAGATTTCTTGAAATACAAAACACACAATACAAGGTAATTTTAGTAAGACTGCAGAACAAAACATACTAAACTATTTTAGTAAAACTTAGTATTAATGGGAAGAGGAGGGAAGGAAGTGAAAATATTTTGAAAGTCTTGTTGATGTGGGTGAGGAGTAGAGAAGTAGAGCATTTTCATGGGCGAAAGAGATTCTTTTAAGTTTCCATCTTAAATGACTAAGCGCTAAACAGGATGAAGAAGAACAATGTAAAGTAATAAATGGCACATAGTTATAAGGAAGATAATAGTTATAAATCTAAATGCAGCAAACAACATAGCAACTAAAATGTAAAACAAAAACTTTTAGAAATTTGAGGAGAACTTGAAATACAATATAGTGCAAAAAGTCAATATATTTATCTCAAGGGGATAAACTGTTGGGAAAAAATAGTGTAAGGATATAGAGGAATGTAATTAGTAAACTTGAATATAAATAAACTCTCATCTCTCAAATAATAAACTTTTTTTGTATGTCCATGGAACATTCACAGAAATCAAACATGTAGTTGGCCACAAGAAAAACCTTAACAAATTTTGAGGAAAAAAATCAATTTTACAGAACACATTCTCTGGTTATAAGTGAATAAAATTATAAATATATCATGATAAATAACTAAAATTTTAGATAAATTTGAGAAACATATTCCTTAATGCTCCTAAGGTCAAAGAAGAGATCAAAAATTAAAGCCACAAACTAGAAAACAAAGAAAAAGTATTCCCAAATAATGTTACACAGTGTAACCCATACTGAGAAGAAAAATTATAACCCTAAGTTCTTTCTTAATTTAAAAAAAGAGACATAAGAAACAAAAGAACTAAATAATCATGTTAAGAAATTCAAACAAAAAATAACCAAAAGAAACTAGGGAAGAATTAAGAAGAAAGCTTAAATCATGGACCTAGAATATCAAAAAGGTACATACAAACTTCTACGCTGATGTTTGTGCAAACTCAAATATCAGGTGTGTAAGGCATCCTTATATATGGAAATGGAGGTAGCATATAAATTCCCTGAAGGAAATGTTGGCTCTGGTTATTTCTCCCCACTCCATTACTTATCTACCTCACATTCCTGTCTGGAAACTAAGCGGTTACATTGCATGGAGGACCAGATATGGAGGGTTCTATTAATATTACATTAATAGCATAATCATGAGGCTGAAGGGGCGTTTGCAGTCAGTTTGCAGTTTCCAGTTGAAACTTTGACTCTAATAAAAACGTTTCTGGAGGAGATTTGTGAATCTTTGGAATGCTAAGTCACTGAGAAAAATCTTATTTAAAAAGGACTAGAAAGACCTTAAAACATAATTAGATTATAGTTTTATGAAGTAATGGGAATTATAGAAGAACAGATACATGTAAATCTATTGTATTTAAATTTTTTATTTTTTATTTATCATACCTTGAGAAGACTGACGTTAACAGCAGTTCTTAACCTCTGAAGCTTGATAAAATAAGACATGTCGTTGCAATCCCAAAGTAGAAATTTTGTCATTTAATATTATAAATTTGGGTAATCTTTATATTGCTACTGGTATTTACTTCATATTTTAGAGGGTAAACCTTTGCCTCTCAGCAACTGTCACTTTAACGTTATTTTTGACTCAGTTTGAATTGATGGTGGTAGTACCTCGGAATTGCTTGATTTGTAGGACAGATAGAAGGGAGAAGGTGTTTGGGCATTGTAATTGTTTTTCTGAAAATCTGTAAAACCAGTCTGTGATAAGAGAATAGACAACATCTCCTTTTAGGCTTTTACTACTAATTAGAAGGTGGTGTGTGTTTACAGAAGAAATACAAGCTTATTTAGCATCACATCTTGTTTTTGGTAAAATATAGAAAGGGGAGAGAGGAGCATTAAACTTTAGAAAAAATCTGCTATAATAGTTTGTAACTTATGCAGCATGTAGTATATTTACATTGGATTTAGGGCTATTTTTTAATTTTAATTAACCGAAGAACAACTAGGAATAATGGAATCAAATTTGTTTTAAATTCTAATTATTATTCTACTAATTGTGATTTTTTTAGTTGTATTTAGAAGGATTCCATACAGAAGAATCTTTATATAAACTCTATGAATGGTGTAGTTGATCCCCAAAGATAAAATTGCATATATATATGGCACCTTCTTTTTTATGTAATTTTACCCATTTTACAAGTTTATGCTAATAGAGCTAAGCGTTCTTCCGATTCAATAATCTTAATAATTTTCTTTCAACAGAAGAGCTGGAGTAATCATTTTCTTTTACTGTTCATTTTCTTTGGATAATATTTGCCTAAAAAGAAAATAGCAGGAACATGTAGTGTCTTTAAAGAGCAAAGAACATAATGGCATTGTTTTCACCACCAGTATAATTGTGTTGATGAGTATCTGCAAACTTCTGTTTTTACCCATTTAATCCTGAAACCAAATCACGCTAACTATTGGACCAAGCCTCATTTCAAATCACTGTAAAATGCATGTGATAGATATTTCTGTCTTTGGCCTGCCTTAGCTATTTTACCTTAATTATTATATATGAGCTATTTAAAAATGCCTCTTAGATATGTGTATTTTCTCATTCTCAGCAAATTTTCAAACAGTGTGATGTTCTGTGACATTTATAAGATTGCAAAGACTTGTTTTTACTCACCATTCATTTCATTTTTTTCATGCACTCTTATGGATTTTCTTTTAAAAAATTATTTTTAGGTTTTAAAAAGAGAAATTGAAATCTGATCCTGACTTTGTTTGTGTCCATTTATAGGATGAATATAAGCCGGAGAAAGCATTGTCTGAAGAGGACTTGAAGAACGCCGTGAGCGTGCATCACGCGCTGGCATCCAAGGCCACGGACTATGAGAAGAAGCCAAATGTGTTTAAACTGAAAACTGCTGACTGGAGGGTCTTGCTGTTTCAAACCCAGTATGTTTTGTTGGTTTGGTTTTTATTTTGTGTTTTACTTCGCTTAGCACCACTTTATACCAAGGCATAGAAACAGTCTCTGCAGAGGACATTTTTTGAGTTGGAGTCAAAGTCAAGAACTGGTTACATTAGACAACTGCCAAGGAGACTAAAATACAAAATAAAAACCCTGGGTCCAGATTTTTCCATCTGCTGCAGAGTAGCCCAGTGACTTTTAGTCAGCCACTTAGACCATCTCTAGATCTCAGTAATCCTCATCAATAAAAAATGAGGGTTTTAGTAGACAAGGTCTTTTACAAAAAAAGTAAAATACACCTGGATTCAAATCACCATTTCCCTAGTTCTTTATCCTACCATGTAATTTAACCACTTTGAACATTAGCTTGTCACGTGTAGGTGATAATATTTATCTCTCAGGCTTCGAGTGCAGATTAAAGTATTTTGCACATAGAAACTGTTCAGTAAATGTAAATTTCCATTTATTTCTCTCCTTTCTCTTTCCTTCTGAGCTCTCGTAATCTGTGATTATACTAAAAGGAAAACATAAAATCCTATTGTAAGCAAGGAAATGGGATGGGTTGCCAGTCCAATGAGGAGTCCAGTGACAAATGTCAAATTAGAATTGGAACATGCCATGTGGAGAATTCTGGATTTGTGAAGTGAAAAACTGAGATTTTGAGAACTGAGCCTCTAGAACAGAAATTTTAATAGGGGTCACACGTAGCATCAGTGTCGGTGGCAGGCAGTGTTAATCATTCATTGCTTGAGCTTAACTTCGGAATCACCCCTACCATAACACTGTCAGCTGACCCCAGTTGACACTGGAATTAAAATTTGACATAAAGCTAGTGAACACAAGTATCTGTGTGCTTGTTGATCAGAGCAATGTAATATCAAGAAAAGAGAAATGAAAACAAAGCAGGTATTCTGCTTTGTGGATGTCAGACTTTTGAAGGTATAAAATTACTGACATCAGGTGAGGATGAAGTTGTAAGGAAGCCAGTTACACAGGGTTTTTTGGGTGTTGGAATAGGGCAGTTAACACCATAAAGGGACCCAGGGCCAGAGGTATAATTACAGTTATTAGGCATTAGGTAAGGAATCTTTCAAACTATTGTGTGCCCTAATATTTTTTTAAAATCTAATATACCAAATGTAATAATTAAGGAAATCGAATTACTTCAGAAGGAATTGATGTGTAGATATCAGTCAATTGAAATAATGGAACAACAGATCAACCTAGAGAGGCATTTGGGCTGTGGTGAGGAGTCGATACCTAGTGTGGTTTCAGGTTATTGTGATTTCTCTGAGTGATCAGTGAAGGAAATTATTTTAGATTTGGCTGACATTTATTTCACTTTTTGTTTATTAATTATGCACACGGTAGATAATCTATCCAGGTTCATGATCATTTCTACCATTCATTTATGAATTCACAAATATTAAGTGCTGTCAGTTTGGAGCTTTCTGGATATAATGTTACAGAAATTAAAAATATCATGACATCAGGTGATTTCTACCTCCTGTCAGGTGAATTTTTTTTTTTTTTTGGCAGTCTTAGTATATTTTACGTATCATAAAATTATATGGTTTGAAATGTACATTTCAATGGGGGTTTTTTGGTTGTGTTTTTAGCAGATTGACAGAATGGTGCAGCCATCACCATACACCAGTTTCTGGAACATTTCCATCACTGCAGAGAGAGCTCCGTGCCCACTCTGTAGTCACTGCCAGTCTCAGCCCCAGACACACACTAATCTACCTTCTATCTCGATAGCATTGCCTTTTCTGGACAGTTCATAAAAACAGAATCACACGTTATGTGGTCTTTTTTGTCTGGCTTATTTTATTTAACATAAGGCATTGGGGGATCACCCACGTTGTAGCACATATCAGTACTTCTCACCTTCACTGCTGAATACTGTTTCGTTGTATGGACTTACTACATTTTGTTCATCCATTTACTAGTTGATGAACATTCAGATTGTTTCCCCTTTTTGACTCTTAGCAATAATGGTCCTATGAACATTGACACACAAATTTTTATTTCTTTTACGTACCTACTTAGGAGTAGAATTGCTGGGTTGTATAATAACTTTGTAGTTCACTTTTGAAGAAACTGTCAAACTGTTTTCCAAAGTGGATATATGTTTTTACATTCCTTCTATCAATATATGCTTCAGTTGGATTTTAAAATCAAATGGTATGATTAAAAGAGATGAGTTAATTTTATAATTAATTTTTGGCCTGGCCTAATATCAAACAGAAAGTAGGGGTTTAATAAATATTTATGGTCAAGTGATTTCTCTTTTTTTCCTGCTGTATCCAAGAGGGATAATCATAATCTTACACTACGATGATAATAGGTTCCACGGCCTTTTACTACTGTTCATTGTTTAGAATGTTAATCTCCAATGAAGTTTTGCCAGGGATTATACCAAGAAGAATAAAGGCTTATTCTGTGCCATTTGAAATCAGTAATGAGAAATGGGTGAAGATCTAGAAATATCCCAACATAAACACGTCTGTTTCTCATAGGAGTGCGGAAGAAATGCAGGGGTGGATAAACAAGATCAACTGTGTTGCAGCCGTATTTTCTGCACCACCATTTCCAGCAGCCATTGGCTCGCAGAAGAAATTTAGCCGCCCACTTCTGCCAGCCACTACGACAAAATTGTCTCAGGTAAGTCATTCTGATAGTGCTTTGACCATGGAAGAAAAATGCTTTGTAAAATTATCTTACTGGTATTTGTATTTGAATAGTATTCCACGTTTTGGGGGGCAGATAAGGGACCTTGCCCTGTAAGGGCATATTGTATAAATGTGGCGGAAGTGCAGTATGGTGGGTTTTGTACTTTATATAGGAAGCTAATACAATCGAGTCATGGTTAGTATGACATAGTCTCTGATTTTGTTTCTAAAATTATTAGTTTGCTATTTAATTCGTCATACTTGCTTGGTTCTTTTTTTCTTTTTTTCTTTTTCTTTTTTTTTCCCAATAGCTGATAACTTTTAAATGACTGGCTAATGTTGGGAGATGCCCTGGCTTTGGTAGCAAGCTTTTCATTCATCCATTCGTTGGTTTATTTTACTGAGCATTTGCCATATCCCAGGCTGGATTTGGTGCTAGAAACATAAAAATATTTTTAGGGATCTAATGCCCACAGCACAATGGGGAAGGGCCTTCCCCAGCCCTCAGGGCAGAGCTGAATGGGACATTTGGGTTTTCTAAGCCAATCAAGATACGGTGCACCTGAACTCTATTTCAGATATATTTATGTAAACTTCCTTCTGTTGGCAGATTAATCTTTCTAAAAACCATATTTTATCATGTCCTTCTCCACTTAAAACTGTCTTAAGGACACTGCCTACAAGCCACGATTGCTGATTTTGAACTTGGGTGCAGCACCCCATTGCCATTGACCAGCTAAAGCTTTTGGAAGCTACTTGATGTCTTTGTGAATTTCTTTTTTTTTTTTTTATTTTTTATTTTAGTGTATTATGGGGATACAGGTGTTAAGGTTACTTATATTGCCCATGCCCCCCCCCCAGTAAGAGCTTCACGCATGTCCATCCCCCAGGCGTTGCACATCTTACTCGTTGTGGTTGTATAACACCATCCCTCCTCCCTCCCACCTCCCAACACCCGATAAATGTTATTCCTATATATGTCCACTTAGGTGATGATCTGTTAATACCAATTTGCTGGTGAGAACATGTGGTGCTGGTTTTTCCAGCACATGAGATACTTTACTTAGCTAGTAAAGTACTAGCATACTTTACTTTACCTTTCCAGCGCATGAGATACTTTACTTAGTAGAATGGGTTCCAGCTGTATCCAGGAATATACAAGAGGTGCTATATCACCATTGTTTCTTAAAGCTGAGTAGTATTCCATGGTATACATTTACCACATTTTATTAATCCACTCATGAATTGATGGCACTTGGGTTGTTTCAATACTTTGGATTGTGAATTGCTGCTATAAACATTCGAGTGCAGGTGTTCTTTTCATAAAGTGACTTTTGATCTTTTGGTAGATGCCCAGTAGTGGAATTTCTGGATCAAATGGTAGATCTACTTGTATTGCTTTGAGGTATCTCCATATTGCTTTCCACAGAGGTTGACTAGTTTGCAGTCCACCAGCAGTGTAGGAGTGTTCCTTCTCCCACTCCATGCCAGCATTTGGTTGTGGGATTTTTGATAAAAGCCATTCTCACTGGAGTTAAGTGATATCCATTGTGGTTTTGATTTGCATTTCTCTGATGATTAGAGATGTGAAACATTTTTTCATATGTTTGTTGGCCATTATTTCTTCTTTTGAGAAGTTTCTATCATGTCCTTTGTCCATTTTTTGATAGGGTTGTTGATTTTTTCTTGCTGATTTTCCTGAGTTCTAAATAGATCTAGTTATCAGCCCTTTATCAGATGTGTAGCTTGCAAAATTTTCTCCCATTCTGTGGGTTGTCTGTTGCTCTCTTGACGTTTCTTTGGCTGTGAAGAATTTTTAATTTCTTGGTCCCATTGTGTTTATTTTTGTTGCTGCTGTGATTGCCTTTGGGTCTTCTTCATAAATTCTTTGCCTAGCCAATGTCTAGAAGGTATATTCCAACATTTTCCTCTAGAATCTAATAGTTTCACACCTAAGGTTCAAGTCTGTTACCCAGTGGTGAGTTGATTTTTTTGAGAGGTGAAAGGTGTGGGTCTTGTTTCAGCTCTTCTACATGTGGCTATCCGTTTTCCCAGCACCATTTATTGAATAAGGATTCTTTCCCCAGTGTATGTTTTTGTCTGCTTTGTCAAAGTTATTTGGCTATATGAGGATGGTTTTATATCTGGGTTCTCTGTTCTGTTCCACTGGTCAATGTCCCAAAGTGAATTTCTTATTGCTGCAGCCATACAAGTAGTTTTATCTGACTATGATCAATCAGGTGTTGGTATTAACTAGCTCCTCTATACATCTCTGATATCATGATTATCAATGATACATTTATTTAATAAATGTGTATCCTATGCTTGTTGCACATCAGAAACTATTCTAGGTCCTGGGGCTAGGAAGGCAAATGAAACCCAGTTGGTCTTCTGGAGAAGTGACAAATGTAAATAAGCAAGCAACCCTTGCACAGTTGGACAGAGGCATAGGAAGGATGAGCCCAGAGTGCTGTAGGGTACAAGGAAGGGACCTTGGCTGGCCTTGGTGGTGAAGGAGGAGATGTGATATCTAGTATGAAGCTTAAACGATGAGAAGCAGTTAGGTGAGGTGTGGGATGAACTAATGGAATGATCCAGGCCTAGAGGAGCAAGGACTGGGATGCAGGAACCACACTAAATATGACCTGGGCACAATGTTGAGAAAAAGCAAGAAATGTACCTTTGTGGAGGTAAGCAAAGGCCAGAGCCTTTCTTTGGCACGTATAGGATTTTGGATGCTTTGGTGGTTCCCAGCTTCCTTAGGATAATCATTTTAAGCAGGAGAGGAATGTGATCAAAATTATTCTCATTACAGTATGAGGAAAAGCAGTAGAAGATACTACTAAAAGCAGAAAGGCCTATTTTAAAAGAGCTTTCAATAATCCAGAGGAGAATTAGCTAAGTTACTTGTAGAAGAAATGGATAGAAGTGAAAGTATCTGAGAGACCTTGAGAGTATAGAACGGACAGTTCTAGTGGTTTGCTGAAGTGGAGGGAAAAGGGCTGTCACCTCGGCTGGGACAGCTGGGGACTGTGGTGTCCAACCTGGCTTTTGGAGCCTCACCTCACGCCTCCTGGTTTCCCCCGTTGCTGCTTTTCCCACCCTTTCCTGGAGCCTTCTATTCTTTCTTTCTCCAAATGTTACAGCACCCAGGGCTCACAAACAGATGAAGACAATTGGGAAACAAAAAAAAATTTTAAGGTCTTTAGGTAAAAAAAAAATAAATGAAAAATAAAACACCAAAATTGGAGAATGTTATGCCAAGAAAAGGGAGAAAGGTCAGATAAAATTAAGACAAAAAATACCTGTCTTATTAAGTGGCTGGGAGGTCACTGGGTAATGTTGGCAAGAGTAGTTTTGATGGAGTGAAACTGGTATCTCTGATAGGATGATTATCAGGTAGGAAGGAGGCATAGAAACAGAAACTACATTGGTCTTCCTTGACAAGGGAATATAAGGTCGTAGGGAAGACGTGTGCACAAGTCTTGCCATAAGTTATTTTAAAAAACAGGAAAAATAGCAGGAAGAAGAGAGGAGACGTGGTTTCAGGAAAGATTCTTTTGTTTCATTTTGTTTTTTAATTCATGATTAACATATATTGGATGCTTACTATGTAAGTATTACTATTACTATGTAAGTAATATATTATCAAACACACTGTTAAGAATAGCAGGGACCAGGCCAGCTCAGCTTGTAGGACAGCATGACATTTAATTTTTAAGGATAATAAATACTCTGAGATTTTTTTTTTAAGAAAAAGGATAGGCTTTTATTGATGACCAGAGAATATATTGGCTCACTTCTCCACCTCCCCAACTCAAATATGAACTGTTCAAGCAAACACGTTTCCCTGTTTTAAGTTTGGGTACTTAACATAAAGAGTATACCACATAAAAGGTAAACCACAGTATCATGATTATGATAAGGTAAGGGGAGGAAAAAAATCAAACAACTGGAAGTAAAAAAACTTCAAAAATTGAGTTTTGAATCAGGCATGGTGGTGTGCACACCTGTAATCCCAGCACTTTGGGAGACTGATGGGGGAGGATCACTTGAGCCCAGGAGTTTGAAGCTGCAGTGAGCTATGATCATGCCAGTGTACTCTAGCCGGGCGACATAGTGAGACCCCGTCTCTTAAAAATAAAAATTGAGTTCTATTAATTATACTATGGACTTTCTAGGGGTTATTTTTCAATATATTGATTCTTCCTTATATTCAGTTCTATAAAAGATCCAGGGGAGGTGAATTGAACTAAAGATGGATGTTAATATGTGTGTCATTCATAGAAGATTTATTAATACGTAGCTCAGAGCAACATGCGGGTTTTTCTTCTTCCCTCACTGTAGAATCTATAGTTCTGTTTACTTTCTACTTTGAAAAATGTACTGCTTTCCTATTTATGTGTGGGCTATAAATTAGTAAGTCACATGCACATGAAAATGAGTGTGTTCATCTGTTTGTGTGTTTACCAGAACGAGCAAGCAAGTACCTTTATCAAGGCAGTCTGTCTTATTTTAAACAAATGTCTTATAGTGGAACTAAAATTAGAAGGCATAATTTTTTTGATACTTTTCCCTCATTTTGGACATATACCCATAGAGATGCAAAAATGCATATATAGTATGATCGAAGTGATAGATTCAAGATCTTAAACAAGAAAACAATCACCAAAAAAGCATCCTCCAGTGTCCCATAAGACAAAATGACCACGCTGTTTTAGGAACTTAACATCTTTGGAAAAGAGTAAGACGATTTCCTCCCCAGTTAAATCACTGAGTCTTTGTAGGCCTCAATTTTCTATCCAGAAAATGAAAAGATCATTCTAGAATGTCCTTAAGGTTTTTCTTTTTCCTACCACCAAATCTGCATTATTTCTTTGCCCAGTTCATAATGTTTGTTTCTAAAAACTAGAAAAGATTTTTTACCTTTGAGAAACAAATATGTCAAATTAAGCATGTGAGAAATAATAGGCTATGAAGACAAAAGAGTTA